TTCTCCTCTCCCGCCTCCTCCTCCTCCTCCGCCTCCTTCTCCTCGTCCTTATCCTCCTTCTCTTCTTTTCCGTTTCCTGTTCCACTTGCGCCTTTTTCCCTCCTCCTCCATCCCGTCGTCCTGCGACTTTTCCTCTTCTCCATCCTGTCCTCCTCGTCTCTGCTCCTTCACGCCTCGCCTCTTCTCCTCTTCCTCTCGTCTTCTTCGCTGTCCTCCTCTCCTAACCCTCCTCCCCTACTCTCTTCTGATCCGCCTCCTCCTCCTCCTCTTCCTCCTTCTCCTCTTGCTCCTCCTTCCCACTGCCTCCTTTTCCTTCTCTCCTCCTCCTCCTCCTCCTCCTCCTCGTCCTCCTTCTTTCCCGGTGGCTCTCTCATTGCTCCTTCCAATCCATGATCGATAAAGGCTGTGGGAAAAGAAACGCGAAGAATATTAACAATTAATTAGAGGTAGCGCATCTTGCCCCACCACTCGCCTCCAGGGTCCTCTACTGGGCGAGCCAGGGGCCACGGACGCGTCAAGTGCAGGCCCTTAGGCCATGGGCACTTGCCCTTCATGATCTGAGACCTCTGTTGCTTGAAGATTTTGCTGCAGGGCTCTCCTATCTTACGGGGAAGGCCCGAAGTATAGGCCCCGCAACGAGAACAAAACACTAAAGGTATATTAGTCTCTACTATGCGGCACGCGTGCAATTTGTGTGGGGGAGAGACTAACAACTCCACCACCTGCCTGAGGCTGGGGGTCAAGGCGGCGCACGGGCTCTTGGGTCGCTGGTTGCCGAAGGTGCGTGCGCATTGGACGCGCCTCCACGCTAACCCAGTCCAGAGCACACGGTGGGGGCGACCGCTGGAGACAGCCTTCGGCCTCGGGATGGACGGGTTGCGGGCTAAATCACCGAAGAGAACTTTAGCTTTCGGGATCTCAAGGAGAATATTGGCCATACCTACTGCTACTTCCTCCCAGCCTGCCGGACACACCTCGTATTTGTTAATGTCATTAAGGACCTCTCGATGATGACGTTTAGCTCCATCTTTAGCTAGCTCATCGGCTTTGTCATTGCCTCGCTGGTGTCGCAGGGCAACTCCCGTGAGCTCTCCTTTCACATGGGCCTTGACTTTTTTCAGACTCCACTGGGGAACTGCTGAACGGTCGAGGGCGCGCCATACTTCTGACAGCGGACTGGCACCAGAAATGACCTTCCAAGGATCACGATATCCTCCTAGCAACGCTTCGCAATCGACGTGAATCAAATACTCGGCCCCGTCAGGGTCGTCCTCCTGATCTGGCTCGAGGTGCGTGAGGCCAGACATGAGCGCATAAACTTCGCCAAAAACAAAACTCTGGGGGAGAAAACCAGGAACGTTACCATAAATGCCTCTGATAAATCCTCCCTCCTCATTGACAGAAACGAAACCCCATCCAGCTCTGGAAACCATATCGTAGGTACCTCCATAACAGGACCCATCACTATAAAGATACTCGTTCTTGTTGAATCGAAAGGGTTCGACGGGCCCGTCAGTGCCCACGAAAAGTATCTTACCGTCCCAGGTCGGTTCCTGCAGGTCGTTCGGCACAGGGGGCCACAAAGAACTGAAACAACGGATCCTCTGGTCCTGCCTCCAGTCCTGCTGCTGCCCATTCTGCTGGGAGATGCTCTGCTCGGCGATCTGCCAGAGCTGGGCATTCAAAGCACCTGTGACAGACTCCGTCGATGGTGCCGTGCACGCCGTCGCGGCACAGCGGGCAAAGCGGCTCAAGCTGGTAGCCCCACTTGTGTAGGTGACTGGCCGTCACAAAGACCGTGTGAACACTTGCTTCATGACGCGTTTTTGGAGCTTGCTCTGGCGCTGAGAGTTCCAGAAGGACCGAGGGGATTCCACCCGGAGGCCTCGCTCCAAAATCTCGACAGCACGCTCGTGTTCACAGTCTTTCAGCCTACGCTGCGTACTCTGCTGCACGAACTCCTTACCTAGGTCCCTGACGAAATACTTTGAAACTGAAACATACGGTATATCTGAAAGCACACAGGGGGCCCCATCCCGCATGGTAAAAATCCCAGGTCCGCGGATAGACCATCCAGCTCTGGATATCCATTGCAGCATATCCCCGACAGGGCCCCAAGCCAAACAATCCCAGGAAGCATTCGGACGACGTTCCTGAAAACGGTGAACCTCATGGACCAGCTCGCTCGACCAGATCCCCAACGGCAACGCAATCCCCAGGTCGAAATTTCTCGTCCGTGGCTAACCAGAACTCCTTCGCACAACGGGTTAGGGTCGCGCCTGCATGTTTGATCGGGTCCTTGCTGGGCTCCAAGGCAAAGGCGAGGTTGAGGTCCGCCCCGCAGGTGGTGAGACCTAAAAAGCCAGCAGCTTGCGACCTGAGCTTCCTGATCTCTCGGGGGCGTCCACCCCGCAACCTCTTCGCCGTGCGTTGTCGCAGGCTTGACTCCGCAAAACCAAACCTTGGCCCTGGATCGTTTCGGATTTTTCAGGCTACGTATCTTGGCAAGACGGGGCCTCTCTTTCCTCCACCTCTCCTTCCGTTTAGCCTTAGCCTGGGGTCTGGTCTTGGACTTCCCAGGCGCAAAGTCCACTCCCAAGTTGATGATGGAGTGGTTGAGCTCACCTGCGTACTGTCCCAGCTGACTCTGCGCTAGCTCCACAAGCTCAGTGCTGGTGCCAGTGATCGCAAACTTGTTAAAGGCAAAGCGCAGGTTGAAGAGGGGGGACAGCTGCTCTACCAAGAACGCCATAGCCAGGGCCGTATTTCTAACGCAACTGTGTATACAACTATCATACATGTCCAGCGAGAAGTCGTCTATGTGTACAGCTAGGGTAGGTGCGAACCTGAGCTCCTGGAACCGATTTACAGTGGGTATGCAGTAACATTTTATTTCAAACGTCGCTGTACTACTCCCAGCTACGATTCCCTGCCCAGGTACCAACTCCTCCGACACCATCCCCTCCATGCTGAGTACCCTAGCCCACCGATAAGTGTGAATGGCGAAGCGGACCGTGAATAGGGGATATTGCCAGTCCGTGCAAGCTCGGACTAGTTGCGGGTGCTGTACATGTTCATAACATTGCTTGAGATCTCCTAGTACTGTTAGAGCCTCTGGACGATTTGCTACAGCTAGATCTCCGCGTATCTGTTGCCTCCAAACGGTGTCAACTACGCTGCGACCTGGGGCCATGGAAAAGACACCTTGATCGGATGCTTTCTTCTCCCACTCTTTGCAGTGCCTGGAATGCCAACGTGATGTCATTCTGATTAGGCCCTGAAAGAATCCGATCGGACGCCTGCCTGAAACGGGCTTCTGGAAGAGAGCCACGACAAGCTTGTGCATCCAGCTCGGCGTGGAGCCGAGCACGGTCATGAGGCCCATGGCCAGACTGAAAACAACAAGGGCAGGTCGGTTTAAAAGATGATAATGGCGAGGGTGAAAGCCGTCTGCTGCAATCGTCGATCGTTTGAAACTCTTGCTCAAAACCATGATTTCTTCTGCATCTGGCGGTTTCGGAATGATCATGTCCTGGGGCCACTCTATCTCCTCGTTCTCCTCCTTCTGATCCTCTCCCCAAGCCTTCCTCCATTTCTGGACCTCATCCGAAAGCTGGCTGGTGAGACAAGATGTGTGCATGCCATCGTCTGTCGGGCGCATGGCCTGGCGCTTGTTGGCAGCCGCCTTGGTGTAGGCATGAGCCCACTTCGCTCCACCAGACAAAGCCTCCGAGCATCAGTCTCTCCATTTCTGTGCTTTCTCATGTTTTTCTCGGGGGAGGAAGATGGAGGACAGATAGGATGCAAGGTGATGTAGGGCAAGGAGTGACCCAGCTCGAATCTCCAGATGCTCAACTTCACCTGGGGCCCGCAATGGATCGACCGCTTCACGGAGCAGGCTAGTCCACAGATCTAGGCCGCCAGGGAAATGATACTTGAAAATGCCTCCTGTCCTCGTCGCTGACCAGGTCGAGCGAACCAAGCTTCTGAAATAATCTGATAGTTCCAGATATTTACCACTCCTGAGCAGACTGTACAACTCGTGGGTCCTCTGAGACAACCAATGCATCGCACGATAAGGGCTCCTGGTAGGGGACCTCTTGGTGCAAAGTAACTCGCCTAAAGGGATCTCCTCAGTGTGGTACGGGCTACCTCCGCGGGCTCCTTGCGGGTGACATTGCAGAGACCCCTGTAGCTCTCCCCAGGACCTTTCACACCAAATTTGGTAGTTGGCGTCGAGACCTTCCTGGAGCCCACCGACTTCGTCTGGACGCGGAAGTCGATAACCTTCAGGAACCTGAAGGGGCTGCAGGAGGCCTTCTAGATCATCCACCAGGTCCTGGTAATCTGGGGGCTCTGGAGCGGGTCCCACAGGTAGGTCCACTGGGAGCTTTGCGTACTTCTTTAAACGGTGCACCGTGAGCTTATCAAGATCCGTCTTAATGGTCAGGAGCACCGGCCTGTGGGGGTACAATTCGGAGTTCAAATCTGTCTTGGACGTGCCGATGCAAGTCATCAAAGCTTTGGCCACTAAAAAGTAGTCGTAGCACCGACCTGGCGTGGCAGACATACAAGTTGCAGCTGGCGAAGGGATCACCAGCTGCCCGTTCATCTTGTGGGGCGCAAGACCCTCCTGAAACACATGGGGCTCGAGGTTGTGATCTCCGCCCGCGATGAAGGGGAGCGAGTGGTGAAGCACGCTGTCCCCCAACTGCTTGGCGATCTGCAGGTTGGTTGGGCCCAAGCCCTCCCCGTCCTTCCAGTAGCCGCAGTACACGGAGACCACTCCCAACACTTAGGTTCTGAAAAAAACCAGTCCTCCTTCTCCTTGTCCTCCTCCTCCTCCTCCTCCTCCTCCTCCTCTCCTTCCCTCCCCTCGCCTCTCCTTTTCTCTCCTCCCCTCCCTCCCTTCGCCTCCCCTCTCCACTTCCCCCCCTCCTGAGGAGTCCCGCGATGGAAAAGGCGACGACTGCGACGACGATGGCGGCGACGCCGCAAGCCTCGCCCTGGTGGTGCACGATGGGCTTGAGGCTGGCGTTCAGCACCCGCAACTGGTCCCCCAGCTCCCCCACCGTCGGCCTTCGTGGGGCCCAGCGCTGGGCCAGATCGCCACCGCCGTCGCCGCCGATTAGGATGGGGGGGGGCGGCAAGGAAAACGAACGGGGGGGGGGGCGCACACAAGCGTGTGTGCGCGCAGCCCTCAGCATCTGCTGCGCGCGCCCGCGGAGGGGGGGTGCTCCGCGGACCGGGGACCGCCGTGGAGCGCTGCTTTTGTTACTGCGGCGCCACTTCTGAATCTGAATCTCGACATGGGAGGCCGAACGGACTGAGGACGACAGACACAAACACCCAGGCGAGGTAGAGCAGGGGCACGAGAAGTACATACAGCTGCACCTCGAGGGAGGCGAAGCCACCTTGACGAGTTGACCACGGCAACCGGTTGACCACTCAAGAAAGAGGCGCGGCGAGGGGGACGGGGCAAGGAGGGGGCCGAGGCGGGCGCGCCCCAGCAAAACACCGACCACTGCATCCCCCACACTCCCACTGGGGATGGGGAGGAACACGAGCAGGATGAGGAGGAGGAGGAAAAGGAAGATGATGATGATGATGATGATGATGATGATGATGATGATGATGATGATGAGGAGGAGGAGGAGGAGGAGAAGGACCAGTGCAAACCAAAGACTCATCAACGATGGTGAATCAAAGCCTCCCCAGTTCCCCCTCCATAACCCCCCACAACAAAAATCATTTTCAGTGAAAGAAATACCCCGTTGGAAAGCAACCGTTTGGGCATCCGGAACTCTGCCAGGACATCGTTTGTGGGACATCAACGCCGCGAATCACCGTTACTGTTACGTCTTGACTATCCTGACTCGTGTCAGAACACCATTCCTGGGTCTTCAACATAGCGAATGAACGTGACCCTCTGCGCCCTGACATTCCGACATCGCTCTAAAAAACAATGTCTTGGATGTTAACAATAATAATCCGTGCAACTCTAGCAATTTCTTGAAACGGATGTGCGCGGCGCTCAATCGATAACCACATTTTGAAAAAGAACCACCCTCCATCCGTGAAGCTCTTTAATTTCAAATGACGAATGTGCGCGGCGCTTAAGCGAGCACCGCATTTTGAAAACGGGCCGCCCTCCATCGTGACGCTCTTGCAACTTTTAAGCACGAATGTGCGCGGCGCTAAAACGAAGACCGCATTTTGACAGCGGGCCACCCTCCATCCGTGAAGCTCTTGCCCTTGTTTAAAAAGAATGTGCGCGGCGCCATAGCGAGAACCAGATTTGGAAGGCGGGCCGCCCTCCATCCGTGAAGCTCTTGCACTTGTTTCAAGCGAATGCTTGAAAGCGGGCCGCCGTCCATCCGTGAAGCTGTTGCAAATCTCAAGCTTCAGGGCCACAAACGGTGCGGAAATCTCGAGCGAAACGCCCGGCTCGCCTGTTCGACCGGCCCGGGGGCGCGACAGGGAGGAACTATCTGTGAGGAAGAGAAATGGAGGAGGAGGGGGGGGAGGAGGAACAGGAGGAGGAGGACGACCCAGGCGCAGGCGCGACTCGCCTCGCGCGCAGCCGTTGCCCGCGACGAGACGGCGAGCGAGCGACGAGGCCAGGCACCTGTCGTCTGGTTTTTTTTCAAGACGGGCCCCTTGGAAGTCGGAAGTCCCCGGGGCCGGCTCTTAAACCCCGGGTCGCCTTGCCGACGGCCCCCGACGCCTGGCGACAGCCCCTGGAGACCGAAAACGGGTGAAAAACCTTCCGTTCCCTGAGATCCGACGTCGCAGAAAAATTACAACATCGGCGACAATCGCGTCTGCAATTCTAGACCCCGTCTTCCCGAGGCAGTCTTCGAGCCGGATCGATCTGTGAGGGCCCCCGCGCCCGAAACCAGGTGAAAACGCCGGGTGCGACAAGAATTGCAACGCCTGGATTTCAGGGGTCGTCCTTTTCTTGCAGCGCGAGCACGTCTGGGGATGGCGGCGGGACCGCACCAGCAGCGGCGGAGGAGGCACCGCGGGGGGCCGAGGCCAGCAATCGGCTGCGGCGCTCGGGCACGGGGCCCGCGGGCAATTTTCAGCGGGCGATGGACGGTGCAAAATAAACTTCTCCGTCGCCGGGGGCGCTGCCCCAGGGCGGCTGGAAAGTTTACACCTTGACGCGCCGCCACGAGGGTACAAAAACTTTCCAGCCGCCCTGGGACAGGCGCCCCCGACTGCGAAAACAAGCCATTCTGTAAGGTTCTTCGCCCCCCAAAAATCTTGGCCGCAGCGCCGTGCTGCAGCGCGGGCGCGGCCACTGGCTCGTCCTCCTCGTTGTCGCTCGCTCGCTCGCTCCCTCGGCTTGTCGTCGTTGTCGCTCGCTCGCTCGCTGCCGCGGCGCCGCGGCCCCACCGCCCGCGGGCACCGTGCCCAGCCCCGGGCACGCGAGGCGCCTCCTCCCTCGAGCCACTGCCGGCCAGCCGCCACCCCTGGGGCATGTCCACGTCGTGAAAAAAAACGGCGGGCACTTTTGGGCCGATCGTGGCCTCTGGGGGCCATCGCGAGGCCCCAGGGCCGCCAAAGAACTGCCCGAGGCGAGAAGGCGGCGCTCTGGAAAGGGTCGGGCCTTCTGGGGCCCCGTATGGACAAAAAAGCATGACGTCCGATGTCTGGGGTCGTCGTTCGCTCGCTCGCTCGCCGTCTCGTCGCGTGCCACGGCTGCATGGGGCGAGTCGCGCCTGCGCCCGGGCCGAGCCTCGCCGCCTACTCCTTCTCATCCTACTCTTTCTCCTCTCCTGCTCCTCCTGCTCCTTTTGCCCAACAACCCCTCCTCCTCCTCCTTCTCCTCCTCCTCCTGCACCTCCTCCTCCTCACCCATCCCCTTCCCTTATAAGTACTCCCCCCTGTCGTGTCCCCAGACGTGTCGGTAGGGCGGGCCACGCATTTCGCCACTTATAGTCCTGAAGCTTGAAATTAATAGTAGTTTTACGAATGGAGGGCGGGTCGTTTTCAAAATGCTGCTCTCGCCTCAGCGCCGCACACATTCAACAATCGCATCAACTTCAAGGATGGGAGGCGGGTTGTTTTCAAACCGTTGCTCTCGCTTTAGCGATGCGCACATTCGTCTTCAAGGTTTCCAACAGTTCCAGGCAATTGGGGGGCGACTCATTTTCAAAATGTGGCTCTCGCCTTCACGCCACGCGCATTCGTCTTTAAACTTTGCAGCAATTTCCAGGGTTCGTACGGTTGACGTCCCAGAAACGGTAGTCTGGCACAATTTAGGATACTCAGGGCGCAACAGTGTCGTTGATTCGCGGTGTTGAGGTCCTAGGGATTGTGT